TTCTCATTAAGCATGTGTTCTGCTACATTACTTTTCATACTAGTCACATTCTTTGATTTAAACGCTATATTAATATTAAAATTTGAACGAATGGTGTTTTTGGCCTCTGGGGACATCAAAATGAAAAAGTAAATCAGTCCCGGGCCTAGGTCTTACCATGCCACCTACGGTAATAGCTACTTCCCTATAGGGAAATTCGCTAAAAATTAGTGATATCAATAAGAGTAGCCTACATGAATGTCAGAAAATAAAAACTGGACTCTAAATAAAAAAGATTAATTCATACAAAAATACTTATACAGTATTAACACCCACACTACGTAAATAACACATAGTATACTTGGTATAACAGTATAACAGTTAGGCATTTTATATTTAAATTCGAATAGACGAGGATTAACAATAAATTTTTTAACACAACCATTTGAGCAATGACAATGCAAAGTTTGCTGGAAATAAAGTGTAGCCTGTTTCTTCTACAATTTAATGTAGAAAATGAAATGAATGTGTAAGGAAATATATATAACAAAACCAGTACAATTATAACCGCACATGATTAGAAAAATTAATGTGAACAAAAAGTAAATTATGGTTATTTTAACCCCTATTATTAATCTACACCCCCTACTGAGTGAACTGCACTGTTTTGAAGTTCTGCGCATGTGTCGCTGTGCATCAGTTGCGGTGCGATTATCGCAAGACTGATACCCATTTTTCATTTCATTTCATTATTTGTCATGAGAGCCGAAGCCCCCCTGACTACATACCCGGTACCTGTCGTGAGACTTACCCGGGCCCCATGATGTAGGCCGAAGCTTACGCATCAACCTTTTGCACATCATGGGCGGATGACTTAAGGTCATCAGGCTCACCGGCTGCCGAAGCAGACCCTTCGGAAAGAGGGTTGCCCCTCAATCCTAACCAGGGTTTCCGGCTACTTGTTTAAGCGTCACTCCACCTGGGTTCCACTAGGTCGGGGCCTAGAGGACCATGGTAGAGCGCCCCGACGCATTTAGTGCAAGTAACACTCGGGACCTATCTAATCCCTGACAGGCAAACCCGCCATCAATAGCCAGAAGGAAGGGGACCGTCAGCGAACCCCAACCTCCCATTTACACCACTACCCGATCGAGGCCTTACCCAGTTGCTGGGAAACCAGAGATAACCAGAGCGATAGATCCCCAGATACCCCTGGCGGGCTCGGACCCAGCACCCGATCTACTTCGTTTGCCCGTCAGACCCAACATCACTGCCAGGCCATCAGGGTTTCCCAAAAGGAGGCAGGTATAGAAGTGGGACCCACCCGGATGAACCTATCCACCAGAGGTGGCGACACCCTTGACTCAATTGAGGTTCCGGGAAGAACCCCCCACACTCAAGATAACCATACCGTCCACACTCAAGACTGATACCCAGGGCAGTGGTCCGCGACTGAGGCTAGCAACTCTTGCGACAGTCGCTCTAAGCAAAACAGGACAATGCAAACTCCGTTAGAACCGTGCCCAGCTACTATCGCATAGCGCATTGCCAATCGCTCCAAGCAAAAGAGGCCTTTAAATATCATACCTACGGTGATGGTTTATTCCTGATATGGGAAATTCACTAATAAGGATATGGCTGCTTAAGACACTGAAAACTCAAAAACGTAATAATAATAATTTTATTTTATGTTCAAATTTCTTACCAAACCATATCAATTTTACAAAGTGTATATTTGAGCTTATGGTTATTGATTTATACTACACATAAATGCAAATATCAACATGTCCATATTCATACATAAGTAACAATAAACACAGTAACATTAATACATACAATAAGATGTCTGCTACTTAGTTATATGTTTACTATATAACAAAACACCTTGTAAAAATATCTGTTTTCCGACATCACAAATGAGTTATGTACAAAATTATAGTTGATGAACTGCAATAAGGCCTCTGTAGTACAGTATCCTATTTTATCGGATAGTTTGGCATTTTACTCGGGAGTGTTGTGATGGTGGACAACACTAAAACAGAACGGGATTGGTTGACAGAAATGTTTAAGCAAGCGTAGCGTGGGACACATCTACATAACCTAGAAGCGTGCTACATTATTCAGGTATTTTCTACAAAGAAGTACTAACAGTGAGATAGTACAAGACTTTCCTCTTTACGTCACATTTCACTCGGAAAGTTGAAGTTGATTTCATTCACGTTATGAAAAACAATGATAGTTAAGTTTTTTTGGAAACATTCTAAATATGATCTATTCAGTGACAAAAAGAGATAACTAAAGTGGGAAGAGTTTCGGCATAGACTTTGAATACCAAATTAAACATCCCATTATATACAGGGTGAGGCAGACCATCAGTACACATACTTTTACAGGAGTATGTTTTCACTTAGATACGCAAAATAAAATTATTCTCCTATAAATCACGTACGAAGAATCCATTTAAATTACTTAGAACATGATCCAAGCTCAGGGTGTTCCAGAAGTTATGGTTATGGGTTAGAATCTCGGAATTTCCTATTGTCAACCTATATTTCATTGCATATTTTAAGAAAGGTCTAGCTTAAAGCAACATTTTGGTGAAATAAAACTCAATTATCTCAATTTGTTTCAAAATAGCTGTGAATTTTGTGTGTATAATACTCTGTATTTTTAAAACCGCTAAACATTTTCCCGTTCTGATTGAAAATTTGTAATCCTGGTAAACACAGCTTTACAATGATGTGTCACATGTAAAAATTTTCAAAATGATAATTTTTACCAAAAAGATTTTTTCTGAGTTTAGTAGCCCGGTTAATCAAAAAAATCAAATGGCAACATATCAAATAGCATATCATTTTAAGGGTCTTGTTAAGATTAAAAACTTTCCAATTTACACATACTGTCTATTTCTCATAGTATTTGAGTAAAAAACCCAAAACTTAATTTTCCCATATAAAATGCATGTTAATTGCATTACCAGACAATACTCTTATTTATTTATTTTTTTAGTTTTAGGTTTTTGTCTGCCTCGTCCCGTATTAGCTGAAGCCAGTTTATTATAAAATAAAAATGTTGAATGGGACTCACTTAAAGTTTTCTATCAAAGTTCTTACATATTAGTTGGTGACAAGTTCGTCAAATGTGACGTAAACTACAGAAAGTCTTCACCGGTAGTTACACTACCTCATGGTTCTCTTAAAAGAGATTCGATAAACGTGAAAATGAAATTTGTTGTTCCCTGATACACATACAACGTATACACTTTTAAACATCTCATTTATATTGTAACTATAAGATAAAAATGTAACAAATTTTAGATTAAAAACTGCACTATGCTTAATTTTACTTATCACATGGATTACTAATGCCTATTCTTATAGAAAAGTGGTTAAAATTAAATTTTAAAAAGACATTTTTCTCCTACAATATTGGTTATAATGGGGTTGTCTAGGTGCTTAAACACTTGACTTAGTTTTGTATTTCACTCGGGATTTCTATACTTTTGCAGTGTAAGAGAATCGAATTATTAGATTCTTTTTGCGGTTTATGTTATATTTAGCAAGTATTGGAAAAGTGAGTTAAAAGCATTGATAAAACATATTATATTTAAGCACCATTGAAAAGACGAAAAAGTTTATTAACAATCTAATATTTACATTTTCTAAATGAATTCCTGTTGTTTTACCAACCGTTTTTTAATCAGTAGTATTTAAGGAAGTATCATCAATATATAGGTCAATCATATTAGCACATCTAAATTATAATTAATTTGAGTAGTAGTTATATTGATATTGTAGTGAAAATTAACAATAGTCATTTTCCAGTAGAAGTTGCTTAATTTTAATTTCTTCAATAGTAGGAAAGGCTCTATGCATTAACAATCTTTAAACAACTCCAGCAAGTTGACTTAAAAGTTTTAAATGGTTACATTTAAAATACAGATCTTAGAGTTAAATTTGAATTTCAATACATTTCTATATTTTTGTAAAATAATTTATCCATTCCAAGTGTCTTTAACAGGCATAATTGAAGTTTTTCTAAATTAAATTAAATACATAAGCCTATTTACAATGGAATGTTTTGTATAAACAATACAATGTATAGCTATTTAAATCCAATGATAAAACATTACCTAATTTGGTCACCAACATTTCTTAAACTATTTGGTTTGCATTTGTTTCCTTTTTGTTGTACTCAAAATCTTTACCCTGTACAATTTGTTATTAGAAGTTGTGCAAAAATATTAAATCTTTAGCAGAAGGGTTACTAAATCACTATAGATATTTTATGCAACAACTTTTAACATTATAAGCAAAACAAAATCAGTTGAGTAATAAAATTAAATTGGACTTTGTAATTACTTATTTGTACTGATGGAAATTGTGTTCCGTATTGTAATAATTAAAATTAGTACAAAGCAGAAAATTACATTAATGATAAATTACTAGCAAACTTTCAATTTTGTAGAATATGTAGATTTAGTAAAGAAAGAGCTTCGAGCTTGCTTAGGGCGAATGAATTATTCAATTATTGTAAATTTCAAATAACAAGTAATTAGTATATTTGGTACAACTGCCTCTCAATTTTATACTATTCAGATTCCCTGTGTTCAAATTAAATTTAAAACATAAATTCGGCTGATTAACTTAGCAGACAGTTTAAAGTCTTGTAGGGTAGAACACTATTGTAAAACGAACTTCAATTTATTACTTTTGTAAATTTATACTAGATGCTGGTTTGTAATGAGTGAAAGTACAATGTAAAAAAATAATAGTACAAAATGTTTATATTTTGGTCACTGAATTATAAGTATGCTATGACACCAGTTAAGCAATTTTTCTCTCTAATTTACAATTACTATTAGTTTAACCTAACCATAATAAAAATACCTATTTAATGTGGAAAGAACTTTGAGAATCAAATTAAACTGTAACAAACTAAACCAACACATTGTAAGTAAACCACAGGTTAATTAATTTAATTCAAATTCAAACACAATTAAATCCATGGTTTGATTGACTGTTGGATACTGAAGTACACATCCCATCTATATGGACCTGTTGTAGCTATTTTCGTTCAAAAGGAACATAGTTGTATTAGCCACTAGAGTGCTACTGTCTAAGATGCTAATTTCTGACATAGTCTTTGTTATTGTGATAGATGATACAACATAAAAAATGCTATAGTTATTCATAACAAAAACAAACAAGTTGTCCTTTCAGTTAAGCATGGTTAAAAGGTTGAGTCCAAAAATTATTAATCAACCCCCACACATTCTAAGCTCAATATAATTATGTTCATTTTCATTCCAAAACTAGTTACAACTTACCATGTGTATGTAATGTCTAGTTCTAGACTATCCTTAGTCAAAGCAGTAAAATTTAACCATAGTTAAAGACGATCATATAAAACCTTAAAATTTGTTGACCTAAGATACATGTCTATAACCACCCTGCAGAGACGTTATGGCCACTGACAGGTTGAATGCCTAGGTTCGGCAGCACTGTGACAAGTCCGTTCCTGTTCTTGAAGTCCGTGCTGGATCCGTTGGTGTCATTCCCCGCAGCACCGGGAGTCACACTTTCCTCCGTAGTCGATGGTGTGAGCATCCCCTGCTGCTGTATATCCACACTTTGCTGTTGTGATTGCACTTGTTCGTGTTTTGCAGGCAACACCTGTTCCACCACTCTCGTCGGAACACTACTTGCTCTTTTCAACTGTTTCTTAAACACTTTATTATCCTTAGAGTCCAAACTTGACCCCCCTTCTCCAGGAGGGTTTCGAGAAGCAGAAAAAATTTTCCGTTTGTGTTTCAAAATCGATAAACTAACATTAGGGTCTTTCTCGATTAAGCTCGGATTCGAATCGGTGTCTGTCATGTTGTTCTCGTCAGAAAGCGGACTCTGTGAGTTTCTGCCGTCTCCGTTTTTACCGTTGCACACTGAATCTTCGGAGCGGCTGCGGTTTATCAGTTTACCCACTTTTCCGAACCTTGTCGCCTCGATGAGGCTGTCCCACTTACGTTTCCGGGAGGAGTTGCGTTTGAAGACAAGACGGGAGAGGGAGTGGTTGTGCGGGTCCTTGGGTGTCGTGTACGTCCTTCGCATAGTCAATCCGGGTGTAGACCCGAGCAACCCGGACAGTGTTGACCCGAACAGCTCGTGACTGGACGAGTGCTCACCTAGCTGTAGACTGGCTATGAGCTCCGCTACGGGGGGCAGCGAGCTGGTGCTGTTACTGGCGGGGGGCGGAGCTATGTTGAACCCTTTCATCAACCGTCTCTCCTTCTGCCTATTCTTTTTACCTCCGGTGCCTAGAAAAATATTTTACCATTGGTACTTGAGCTTACAATAACTAAGTGACAGAAAGTGGAATTAAATGCTTGGAAAATAAAGTTTTGCGTGCACATTAATCTATGAAATTAATTCATATTTTCTTTATTCAAAACTTTTGAGTAACTTACTTTAGCTATTTTATATTTTTTCAAAAATATTTTAGAACTGTCAATGTTTGCATTTTTGGTAAGAAAAATTTAGGGAATATTTAAGACGTAGCAAGTATATTTATGACATTTCCAATAATAAATGACATGATTTCACGTTTCAAGATATTCAATACATTTTTAATAGGTAATTTGAATTATTACTTAAAATGACAAAACATAAGCAAGCAAATTTATCATTATCACATTTTGTTAGCTAAAACAACCACTAATGTGCTATTGCTAATAAAGTACCTACTTTTTTGAAAAGATAAAAAACAAATGAAAACAATCTACTTAGGAAATATTTATCAAGGATTCTATACACGGGAAACCTATGGGATATGAGACAATCAACTTTCTACAACAATAACAATCATTCCCAAAAACAGAACATAGCTAACTACTCAACGACAGTAAAAATTGTAAAAAACTGGAACCTGTGTTAGGACCAGTTGCAGTTGAAGTGTTCATCCCGGAATTTTTGAGTATTTCTATGAGTTCGCATCTAAATGCTGAGATATCCTGTTTTATCTCGTTAACATCGTCTTCAGTGACCCCTTCGTTTTCTCCTTTACGTTGTTCAACGGTAACGTACCGCCTCACGAGGTTGCGCATTATGCTCTATAACAGATCGTAAAACAGATAAACATGTTACAAAGACTTCAGTCTAAAAGAGTGATTGCATATGATGTCGGATTATTTTTTAAATGGTAGCCTAGTTAAGTTATCTTTTTAATTATAAATTTTAAATAAATCAGACCTAATTTAAATTTGTTTAATGTTTGTTAAATTCATTTAATCTGTGTATACAGTACCAATGATAATAAGTTTAGATATTAGCATATAAAAATTTAGATTTGTTTAGGTTCATTAATTAATATCTGAATGATGACCAATGAATAATAACCAAAGAAGTAAAAATGTATGATTTTTACTACATTTCTGGATGGAAACAGAATAAAATGATTTTGTATACAAAATAAATGAATGTAATTGTTATGATATACCAAGTGAGTTATTCTATCTAAGCATCAAAGTCAACTTTTTAAAACAACGGGAATATGAAAAAATGTTACAAGTTACTTTGGTTACTAAATAAATCAGTTGGTTCATACATTGTGCTATTGTAAAAATATGTTCTACAATCTTTGAATGAGTTTTGCAACCCTAACAAGCAGCTTTTGAAATACAATGATATGTTTTTAATTAAAATGATGCAATTGTAAAGAAAGTCTAGATTTATGCTCATTATTTGGATTTGATTTACTGTAAGGTATAAGGTATAAATGGCAAGACAAGTTTTGATTTTTTTTTTGGAAAAGCAACATTTTCACAAACCATGCTTGTAAGATTGTAAATTCTACTTAAGTCTTGAAATTCCTTAGATGTATAGTAAATCGTAATAGTTTGAAGTGGTAAAAGCGTAAATTTTAAAATCAAACTCCACCACTATATATCCTTACTATTTTGACAACCTTTTTCAATACCCTACATAAATTAACGCGATTCACATTCAGTTTTGCAAATCTCAGTTTCATTAGTTTTTAAATGCATAGATGGATGGAACTACGATGATAAGGCAACCAAAAATGCATACAGCATAAGTTATTTAAGTCTGTAATGCATAACTATGAAACAAGATTAATTGATTAGTAATGAACATCTGTTTGATTAACTAATTTTATCATGATAATATTAGTATTACAAACTTATTATTTTTAAATGTAGTTAATGTTGGTACTCAACCTAGTCACTTTGGTATTAGCATGGACTCAGGAAATTGAAAAAAGACATCTCAATAAACCAGCTGTAGCAATTTCTTTTACACGATGAGAACGTGGTTGAATAACGAGTTGAATTTTGACGGAGTGTGCAACTGGCTAAATTCCATTTAATAGTTTTGGTCACTATGTTAGCTTGTGTGGGATAAAAGTTCAGTTTGACTTAGTTAAACTAATGTATGTGTACAACAGAAATTAGTAATTGATAGCAACAAACTATCTGTCAGATTCAGATGCTCAACCATAATATATTGTATTTTAAAACTGGTTACAGCAAAGAAATCGGATGTCTCCATCAATCCATAGTCTGAAGTGTTAGTATTGAAATGTATAATTTAGTTAGTTTAAGATTATAGCTTAAAACTATAACAAAGAAGAGGCAGGCAACACATACTTGACTGACCTGGTATCGAAAGTCCCTCTCACTCGCTTGTTTCACCTTCCGCTAAAAAACAAATTTGGGTTTAGAAAATTGTAAACTTATATTTATATTCTACAAGGTGTGTAGAGCTCAGGAATTTTCCTCTGGGGGATAAATCGGTATCTTGTTCCAGTGGTCAGGAAAAGGCCCTCCTCTTCATAGTGTATTACATTGCATAGTTTATGATGTAAAAACTACACCGATTTTTCAACACATTCTATACTGGGTGTCTAAAATGTCCCGGCTCGGTTAAATATTTCTTAAATATTTAAAATAGAGCTACAAATCTTTACACAAAGTTACTGGACACAAAAATCTATTTTATTACATATTCAGTGATCCACTACTTCCTCTGGGGGGGACGGCCCGCTAGGAAGAAAATCTTAAATGTAAGTATAGGCTGATATGCACATCAAAATAAAGGTCTTTACTAGTAGAATACGATGCCGCAAATCTATATATAAAGCCAAAAGTACCCATGAAATTTGAGAAAACTACAAGTCACACCCCCCATAAACCATATACTTAAAATGTTCGTCATGACGAGAAACCTTGCGCAAAATTATCCATTATTTCATAAATTGCCCTATAAGGTCGTAATTGCTTTCCAAAGGGAACTTTCCATTTACCTAATGTTAAAAATACCTCAGCTGTTATTATTTGTTTGTATTCTGTTTTGTTTATTTCATCTTATATCAATAGTTGTATTAATACTAATGTTGTAAAACGGGGTGGAGCCCGTGGGTAACAGCTAGTTTGAACTAAAATGGACATTAAGTCAAAAAAGAGCAGCCGCTCAAAGATATCTTGAACCTGCCATTTTGAACCTTTGAACGGCTGCCATTTTTTACTCAGTTGTTCTTTTGAGCTAAAATTTGTGGCATTGAATTCTATTAACTCAGACCCTTAATTTGATGAGCATATCAACCTATGCTTATAAATTTACGATTTTCTTCTTACTCCTTTAGCCCCCCTGAGGTAGTAGCGGGTCACTGAATATATGATAAAATAAAATAGATTTTTATGTCTTGTAACTTTGTGGAAAGTTTTGTAGCGCTTTTTTAAATATTAAAAAAATATTTAACCGACCCGGGACTTATTGGACGGGGATAGCCCAACTCTGCGCGGTGGTCAAATCAAATTTAAGCCGAGGAAAAGTTTTATGGCTCCCGAAAGGTCCAGTCCAACTCCCCGCGGTGGTCACTTTTAGTGTACAGTCTAACTCCTTGCTGTGGCCACATCTAATCTCTACGCTACCTTGTTGTGCTTTCGTATGAGATATGATGTGTTTAATATAAAATATTCTATATATGTTACACTTTTATTTGTTCATATAGCTACTTTATTCATGTGACAGGTTAGGTTAGGTTAGGTTAATGACAGGTAAATTCAAATGAAACATAAGTAGGCCTACTTAGGTTTTGTATTAATTAACTTTATTTTATTAGTTACTGTGGTTGCATACAGTTAAAAATTATTTACATTTATAACAATTTCAAACTTCAAATACAAACTCACAGCCGTCAGGGCACAGTCAATTTTGACATATTTCTGACCACCGCGCAGAGTTGGGATAAGCCCTATTGGACACCCGGTATAAAACCCTTATAGAAAAGATTGTTCTAGAATCTAGAGTAGAGGAAGCAATGCCCCATTGGGTGTTGTTCCTCTAAAATGAGAACAAGCAGAAGCTCTTTATGAAATAGATTTAAAATAAAATCTAGCTAAAAAAAGGATCATCACTTAATTTATTAGTTCATTAGTTAATCATAATGATCGTCACTATCATAATGACAGGGGGAGCGAGCAGGTCTAATGGTTAGAGCGCGGGAATTCAGTCCCTGAGGTCCGGGTTCAAATCCCACCAAATCACCAACGGAATTTTTCCAAGTGATAATGCCCCAACCCCTAGGTCTAGTCTGAAGAAATGTGAAAAACAATTCCAGGCTCGTGCCTAGCGTCTCAGGAAAAAAAAACTTATTGACAAGGAAACAATACCGCATATAACCTGAATATGCGTGAAATTAGTGTAGATGTAATGTTTTCTGTCGGAGATACGTCAGACTATGGGGTACGTTTGATTACAATGTGTGAGATCTTTGAGGGACAACTGTAATACAGTTAATACATTTTCACACTACAGCTTAATTCATACCCACTTTTAGTTGTCACATGAATTAGAATATTAGAATCATTGTGTTATTCCTCACCCTGATTGTTCGCATGTGTTCCTTCTTGGCCGCGCGGGAGTGGCCGCAGATCTTGCGTTGTAGCCACAGCAGGAAGTACCACACAGACTTGGGGGTGGGTATTACATTGAAGGGGGGAGGAACTGTTCCCCCCTCCTCAAAGTAACTGATCCACAACTTGCTGCGAGCAAACTTCCACTCTATGTCTGCCCTCTCCTGCAGAGAGAATACAGAAGCAATTTCGTAAGCAGAAAATATTGTGAAACAGCATGATTGTATTTGCAACCCCACAAGATATAAAAACTGGGGAAAGGAATCTAATTCCTCTGATTTTATTTCAAAAGAAAACCAAATGGCTTTTTAAGGTTTTTGTAAAGTGATAGCAACCTCATGTGAGAAAATTGAATCCATGAATTTACATAACTCGGTAAAAAAGGTAAAGTTTTTAAACTTCTAGGCTGCAGCATGAATCAGGTAAACTTTTCACCCATTTCTCTTGTGTTATACTCGTATAATTACTAATAGTGAAAGTTTTGTTATGTCACTCATGATTACAAACATTTTACTTTGAGACTCAAACGGCTAACAAAAAATCATATCCACTAGTCATCTTCACATTTTTTTACTCAATATACCACATAATAAAATATGTTAACAATAATTTCTTTGATAACCTTTCATACTTTCATGCACAAAACAGTAACTAAGTAGAAATGTAAAATAATCAAAATCAAGTAAAGTAGCACCAAAGCGAATTGTAGTACCAGCTGTTACATCAATGTAGGTTTGCCAACATCAAAGAAATGCCAAATCAAAGGAATGCAAATGACATGCTTCTTCATAATTCAGCCCTCTCTTTAAATCAGTTTAAGACTTGTAAAAAGTGTTTAAAACTTGTCTACTAATTTAAATGGCTCATCGTTTTTTCATTCATTTATCAAAACTTTTGTAAGTTGAAAAAAAAACTTATATTTGTTTTAATACTGTTATAACTAATGTATAATGGACGGAAAATAGTTACAAAATAATAATCAGTTAGGTGCTCCTCGACTCTGGTAACCTAATGCTCAGCTACAAACCTTTCAACAAGAGTATTTGTTTATGGACCGTTGACCTTACCAGGGGTTTCAATCGAAAAGATTCTGTATCACGGAATCCCGGCCGGTTTTAATGCCATGAAATTCCAGTGTTAGCGTCTTTAAATCTCAGGATTAAGGCCTCGGGATATAAAGAGCTCAGGCAGTCATCGCAAAGATCCAACAACCTTTTTCAATTAAGACTTTAGAACTTTGTTCTGTTTTACACGTTCTGACACTAAAGTAATACTAACAGAAATGAGCTGATATGAGTGATTCATCATCGCAATCAGCAAGTTGAGCAACACAACGATGTTTATGACCGAGTAGCAGCCAAACATGAGCATTCCCCAGAACCTTGTGAAGCTCTTAATACCAGCCAACTCAAAGTTGTCAAGGTCCACGAGCCCAAACGCTGCCCAAAATAACGTCTGGGACGTCTCGAATAAACTGAAACAGAAGAAAGCATTTTTGCGTCAAACATTTTGGTGGTGACACACATAGCTATATTATTTTTATTTTAGCATAAAAAACAACCGATTAAGGTCTGAATTCACTTAAATAGCATTAGCATTAGGTTTAATGAGTGCAGTACCTAGGTTTGTTAAAGTTTTAAGATTTTCTTTCTGAGTGTGTTGTGGGCATATTCAAATTTCATAAAATATCAAACAGAAATGCAAATATAAAATTACTTCCTTCTGTTCTAAGGATGAAAGCTTAAACTTGTAAATCTGAAGTAGACCTGCAGATGTTATAGAAAACAGATATTTAAGAAATACAAAGGTTTTCGTCTAAGTTCTTACTTTGCGAACCGTCTCCAGACGAGGCAGGCATCAGGGTCTGTAGCAGTCTTATTCCCTCCCGGAGCTATTGGGGCTGGGTTGATGGTAGACAAACATCGTTGTTTTTCCATGTCAGCATAGTACCACAGTAACTGGTTCATACCTGGACAATAACCGGTTTTATTTCTTGGACAATACAAAATGTTAGTTCTGCATAGCAGGAATACTACTAATACAATAATAAAAAAATTCTAAACTCAGTTTCCAGGAATGTGAGTTTTACCTGGGACAGATCCAGTCATTTTTTACGTTCAGAAAAAAAAGCTGAATTGGATAGCCAATTTCTTGGAAGAAAACCAAGTATCCGGTTACAAATCTGATAAAAAGTGCATAAAGGGATACCTTCAAATGCTGTACCTATGGTTATAAATTTTTAAATGTGTTTCGGCTACAACATACATTACAGTAGAACCATTTAAATCGCTTTCAAGAAGTAACCAGCTAAACTGAGGACTGGTGAAACCAAGGTCAAAAATTAGGGGTTCTACACTGTACAATAAGGAATACAAAAGTAATAAAATCACAAGAATTTTCAATGTGACAAATCAATTCTCTTACCACAAGAAAAGGCAAAAAGAACGAGGACATAGAGGAAGAAAAACTTCATGATGTCCAGCACCATTCGACTGAGGGAGACTTGCAGAGGTCCGAGGTAAGGGTTGACGGAGAAAATGTACACCAACTTTAGAGAACTGCAACATGCATGTTTTAAAATTATAACACTAGACTATATTGTACTTCAAATCTACTTTTCAATCGATTTGTCTTCCTCATAGAATATCATTTTTAAGAAGTGTCTCGGTCTATTGTGGAGTACATTTAGATGCTTTCTTTAGATTTTTTACACTATAAGTAAGAACTCAGGTTTCCTTGATCATCAGAGTTTTAATAAATGATCCTGGCTGAAGAAACAGCCAGTCTTAGTCAGTAACAAAGCGAAAAGAAAATCTCCTATACCAGTAGTCTAGTCTTCACCTACCCTGCATTCAAATTGAGCTTAAAATACAACATTTTCAAGAGCACTAGAAATCTTTATAACTCTATACTCAAAATTGATGAGGACTTCTAAGGGTTTTATAACACTTTCTCAAGTTAGTCGCTGTTGCATCACTAACATGATCTGTGGATATTAAGACCATTTTGTCACTAGTAGTAGCAGTTCTACTGCTCTGAGGATAACCAATGGCAATATGCATGTTTGAATGAATAGATTAATAGATTGACTGGGACGGGTGGCGTCGTCCTGTAATCCAGCTACTAGGAGGTCACGAATTGTGGATATTTATAGGCATGGATATTTATAGGCGATACCAATTCGTAATTACCAAGGCAAAAATGTGGTTCGGATTCCACTATAAACTGTAAGTCCCTTAGTTGCCATTAGCTGTATGGGCTATTAATTAACAGCTGTGTCTAAGGAATGTCGGCCTTAGTCACTAACAAGACTAAAAGATCGCGCCACTCATCCTACACTCATCTCCATTCATACTTGGCTTAAAATACCTACTTTGTATGGTCGCCATTTAATGGAAGAGTATTAACAGAACAGTATTAGTCAGATATAGTTACCTTTTTTTCCACTACTATTAATACTATAGGAATTATAATACTATAATACCTTACTATAATACTATAGTATTACAGTACTATACTATACTATACTATACTATACTATACTATACTATACTATACTATAGTACTATAGTATTATAGTGTTATAGTACTATAATACTATAATACTATATACTATTATAGGACATAGGTAGATACATATCTCTGTTATAATAATTTTTATCTTAATCCTTCCATGATAGAAAAGCGTTTACCTGAATATGTTTGCAGCAGAAAACAGCCCCTCGGATATCAACATGGGATCCCATGTATCCCATTCCTCTCTGGGACTGTCTCCAGCCAAATTGTAAAATTCCATCTCTTGCTTTACCTGGAATCCAAATTTAGTTTCGTTAACTACCTAATTTATTCCATGTCTCAGTTATAAAGCCGCATCCCACATTTAGATCAGATGAGACCAGTATACATGCAGGTTACAAAGCATGTTTCCTGCCTTTAGTGTACCACGTTACCTGAGGGCGGGTAACCTGCTCACCAACTTGGCTTTGTGCAAACAAGGGCAAAATGTTCATAGGTAGAACTGGTAGAAGAGTGGATATAGTTATAGACAAAAAGAATTAAATATAGACTGTCAGCTGTGCTGCAGTTACCATAGGTCTGGCGAACACCTCTGGGAGCGCCGTGTAGTTACGTAGGGCGTACACCGTAACTACATGGCACTCCCAGCGGTGTGCACCAGAACCTATGGTAACCGCAGCACGGCTGACGGTCTATATTTAATTCTTTTTGTCTATGACATAGTGCACGCCTAGGTATGTTAGTTCCTTATTTGAAACTCCAGTATTTGCATCAGCCCACCAAACTAAATTTTTGAGCATTTGTCTTTAATTATTTCTTCTTTGTTATTAATAAAAAATTTTTTTACAAAGACTTTGTTTTACACGAAGGCTTACCTTGTACCATGCTACAAGTCGTAGTGCCACTGTAGCCACGTAGAGTGAGTTTGTGATAAAGTCGATGACATTCCACATGTCTGCAGCGTACTCCTCCAAGCCAACGTCCCAAAGCTGCTTTACTTCACTCCATATCAGTCCTGCAAAGAATGTGAGTGTCGGAGGTTGATCAAATAATAATCATCCCTCTCATAAGTACTAATCAGAAAAAAACAAAAAATTAAAAAAAAACTCAACATGAAGTAGCGTAAATGTGGAAACCACTTAACCAAGGGTTAAAGAAACCACAAGGTTGATGTGTTGGTCTTCGAAAGAAATCTCCGTAAGTGGGCAAAATACTGGCAGACATTTAGAATCGATTAAAGCAATCCATCTCAAGGGCAAGCTATATGATGCAATTGAGCTTGCCCTGTCAATGGATTGTTACAACACATCCGATATGTTGGTCAATGCAATATTTTAAAACCATCATTTGTCAGTATGGAAGCTGAAAGTTGTGTCTTGGGTGTCAACGTGAATATTTAGTGTATAATAATTATGGAAGCGGAATGTGACAAAACAAAGGAAAACTCGGCTCGATGCTTGATCATATTCAAGTGTGATATTGATTGCATGGTGTGATGCTTAGGAAGCCATCCGTAATGAATTAGAACAAATAGAAACGGTGCTTGAGTAATCATAATTTGTGCTCTGGAGCTTGATTAATTTTCCTACAGTATATTCCAAGGTAATCAGATTACATTAAGACATCGTGTATAAACCTCATGTGCAGTAATCAGCGGTTTTTCACCGCATATAGTTTAAAATTATAATTATGTATAATATAAAATATAATCAATATTTCAATGTTGTTTGGGGAGATACTTACAGCTTGAGAGGTCAGATTATTTCCCTTTTTTACTCCTTCCCTCTGATTTTAGCAAATATTTTTTTTTTTTACTCTATGCAAGTAACTCATCAAAAATAGCTAAAAAATAGAGGTATAGCATTAACTTTGGGTACTGTGATTAATTATTCTATTATATCTAAAGCCTGTTTTAGTGTTTGTCTCCTACCTTTTTACTTGTGAGTGTGCTGATGTCAACTAAATCCCTTTCTCTTATTTCAGGGTAATTTTCACTGTATAGAGACATGATTTTATTTGGGTAAAATAGTTTCACATTGGATTAAAACAAGTAAAATTGTGGAACTTAGGCCGGCCACACACAGAACCAGGCGAGGCGGGGCGCGACAGGGCATTTTGCCCCGGGGCGTCTTGTGCGATGGGAATTGCACAGGCTCTTATGGAGCGCCACACACAGGACCGGGCGAGGCAGGGCACGTCGAAAAGACACCCCCCGGGCGCCCGCAGGGCAAAATGCGAAGGTCTCCAAAATTATGCCCCAAGGCAAGTCGCTGCCGGGCAGAACTTTATGCGCATGCCCGGTCATGTGATTTATTCCCTTACGGGCTAATTTTGATCAGGATTATTTTACAACTGATACAATTTACATACAAGACTCCAAGACTGTAACAATTTATACGACCAAAGATTACACACTTTGATAAGACTATGCAGTGATGATATTACTACAGTGGTTGAATTACTAATAATTTATCTTGGTATTGATAACTGAGGAAAGAGAGGGCCAACGTTCATATCTTAAGGGTTTCAAAAACCACTCATCTGGAGGAATGACTTAAATTTAGTTTTCTATTCTGCTCCCAAGTATAAAGTCAAATTTAAAAGTTGGCCAAATCGGCTCAAGGCTCAGAAATAAAAAAAATCCTATATTAATTTTCAGGTTTATGGGGGCTTAACTTTTTACTTGACGTGCCCTGCCTCATTCTGTGTGTGACAGCAACAAGACAGGGCGTCTCATCATGCCCTGTCGCGCCCCGACCCGCCTGGTTCTGTGTGTGGCCGGCCTTACTCTTCATATGTCAGAGAGATACAGTTCCATAAATAATTTAGTACTTTATAATAATAATTACAAAGGAAATTATCACTTTCAGCTTATCCTTAAGGATGGAATATATATACTTACAAAATAATTTTGATTTTCTGTGTCCTGTCCCAAATTAAAACTAATTGAACACTCACCACTAACCCAACCTAGAATCATCATCTCCACTAAGGACGGTGGAGCGCCTCTCTTGGTTGGTTCATCTTCATCATACTTATAGTCTGGATCATCACTCCATATAGCAGCCACCGACCCAAGCAGCGACTCTATCCTTTGAGATGCCAGGATTAGTAAAACTGGAAAAGCACAGAATGATGTGAGCGAACCATATGTGGGTCAGCAAAATAAATAATGGTTCTATGATAACAGTGTTTAAATTAATTGTTTCTGGTACTGTAAAATGAAAATTATTGAACTGAATAAGTTAATACTACGATTAGTTGTAACTGAAAACTGACTGATGCAAAATAATTCATAAAACTTATTAAATTATTACTGGTATTATTATTACTGGTAAGTATTCAAACAGTGTGCTGAAGAAAAAATCCGGGGTCTTGGTGTGTTTACTTGGACAATGTGGTTATTACGAGAGGGTAGTTTGTTTAGCGTCCCACAACATATAGGTGGTGGAAAAATAAGAAAATGTGAAATTCCTTTTTCTAGAGCAACATTAATTATGGTAAATTTATTAGCATGTATCTAATCTAATGTATGTTTGAATAGAAATATCCTTTTTAAGAATAGAAGCTGTTTAATTAACATTTCTTTACTTAGTTTTCTAAGGTTTGATAGTTTATTTATCTATTTTTTTAAATATCTAAAACAAGAATAAGGTTAACTATAAACTGTATACAGCAGACCAGTCATTATTAAAATAATAGCGCACAGGTACAAAAATGTTTCTAGGTACCGATACCCAACAAATCTTTGGGGGCTAGACTTCAGAGGATGTTTGGCTGCTTATGGTCCTACTTATATTTAAGAACAGCGAACAGATCAACACTTTGTTTGCTAAAAAATAAATACTTACAAAGGAATGTAAAATAGGAAGCCGAGTGACAAATGAATTTGATGAAAGGTTTCCGCAGTGTCTGACCAGCAGAGCTGTGTGGAGCGATTATATACATGAAGGAGAAAATGGGAAACATCATCCCGATACGGACGATCTCTAGAGCTTGTAGCACCATGTTTTTTCTACGAAAGCCAGGCAACCCCTCGTACCAAATGGAGGCCAAGAGCTGTTGAACGTTGGGGTGAGCTACAAACTGTAAACACAAATTGTTAACTTAATTAGAAAGGTAAGATTTTAATTGAAATTCTTGTTTGTAGAGTCATTTATATCGTATTTTTACGGTCCACAGACAGAGAGTAAAATGAGCTAATCTCTATACAACATCACACTTCCAGATTTAAAATGTAAACAAACCTTCTTTTGGCGGAGTTTGATGGCGAGCTTGAGACGGTTCAGATGCATGCGTTCCCCGTGTTCAAAAGCCGGCCCCGTGGGGTCATGGTTCAGAAGCACCTCAAGTTCATAGGAACTTCTTGTGTGATCCAATAGAGCCGTGGCGAAATCTTGGCATTGTTTTCTAAGTTCCTGCAAAAAATGTGTCCTTAGTATTAAAAGCGATTTTAAAATAGTCAGCCTCTTCAGAAGAACTATGATAAGGAACTATGCCTGACCTTTTTGATCTTATAGGGATAATTTGGTTTAACTATGCATATATTTATCACGCTTTTCCTCCATTTTATGAACATAAAAATAATATTAATGTAAGAAACAAAAGTGTTTGGTGAAAAATCTCTCATTAATAAGGAAAAGAAAGTATAAAAATGCATGATTAAGAGTGCAAATCAATTAAAAACTACTTTTTGGTAAACTTTTTACCCAAGTTTGCCGTGCATTTAGGTTCTCCCGCCATTTAAGGTTCTGCCACAGACAAAGGAAATCCCAACTAAAACTTAGGACATCAAATTTTTTTAATGACTTATTCTTATAAGTTAGTGGTTTTATTTACATTACCGGTGTTTAACACATGATATACAATATCAGAAGTCCAAATTGACAACTCAATTCTAAAGATATGTCTCACTAAACTTTAATTCTCACCCTGCAATTTCTTTATTTACCTGGTATTCAATTTGTAGAATGGATTTATAACAGCTAGCTTACCTTAGAAAAAGTACAGGTAGTCCATAGAACACAAATAAAACACATGTCGTTTCCTGGGGGACCTTTTAGCAAATTTCCCTATAGGGAAGTAGCTATTACCGTAGGTCTCATGGTAAGACCTAAGCCCGGGACCGATTTACTTTTTCATTTTGATGTCCCCAGAGGCCAAAAACACCATTCGTTCAAATTTTTATATATCTATATATATATATATATAAATATGAAAAATAGAAAAATAGGGCTACTATATATAAATAAAGATTAAACATTAATAAACTTAGTACCCAAGTAAAATTATTTATTAGATATGTAGATGACATTTTATGCTTATTTAAAGGAAATGACAATGAATCTGAACAATTATTAACGTATCTCAACAATATTAATAAGAAAATTAAATTCACCAAAGAAACCCAACAAAAAGAAATCAATTTCCTAGATCTAACAATTTCCATTCAAAACAACAAACATTCTTTTAACATATTCAGAAAACCCACAACTACAGACATAATAATTCCAAAACATTCGAATCATCCATGGACACACAAAATTGCAACTTTTCATTCATTAATACACAGATTAGTCAACGTTCCTTTAAATAAAGAAAATTACAAGAAAGAAGTCGACACTGTAAAATATCTAGCTGAAAAAAATGGATATAGAAGCAAAATGATTGATAATATGATCAAGAAGAAAATTAAGAAAAGAAATGAATTAAAATCAAACTTAGAAAACAATTCGAAACACAAAGAAGAAAAGAAATTCATGTGCGTCCCATACAACAACAATTTTAACAAAGCAATCAGGAAAACATTCAAACATACCCCAGTAAAATTAAGCTACAGAACAAAAAATAACATTTTTAAAATCATACAAAATAAAACCAACAATCCTATAACAAACAATACAGCAAATATATACAATGCATCTGGTATCTACAAAATTAAATGTTCTGACTGTGACAACTACTACATTGGACAAACCTATCGAAATTTTAAAGTTAGATTCAACGAACATATACAGGCATATAAATCGAAGAACAAAACATCAATGAAATCAAATTTTGCAGATCATTTACTAAAATCCAAACATAAGTTTACTAAGATCGAAGAAAACTTAACAATATTAGAAATTGAAAAAGACAGAGAAAAATTGAATGTAAAAGAAGAAATTAATATTTATATGAACTACAAAAATAACAAATCAAACATTTTAAATACAATGATTCCAAAATTGAATAATCCAATATATGAAAAAATAGCAAAATTGAGAAAATATGAATGAAAATAAGTACAACACATCATATAGTATATAAATTAATCAATGAAGACAAAATTATGTTACAAGTTAGAAAAGTTTTATAATATCATATGTTATTTATTTATTTACATATCTTATTTTGATTTTTGTTTACTTTGAAAATGGCCTTAGAGCCGAAACTATAGTCAGTAAATATTTTAATAAATAATTTTACTTGGGTACTAAGTTTATTAATGTTTAATCTTTATATATATATATATATATATATATATATATATATATATATATATATATATATATATATATATATATATATATATATATGTGTCCATCCGCACGATAACTTGAGTAATTTTTGTCCGATTTTGATAAAATTTGGTTTGAAGGTGTAAGGCGGGATAAACTTGAATGAGTTCGCGAACCAGCATGATCGGACTATGGGAACGGGGGTTTATGGGGGGTTTTATGGGGTAAAAATAGGTTTTTCCCATTTTTGCCGCTAAAAACACAAAATTTCACAATTTCTTTTTAAACCACTTTGTAGAGCTTAAAAAAACAAATAATTTAGTATATTGAAGCGTTATTATGCGCCTAATTGTTACGGAGAAAATTCAAAAAAATTGTAATTTTAAAATTCCCATGTTATTCTTATGGAGAATAAGTCAACTGTTGTAGTTTGCTTGTTTATGAACATATTTTGATCGATTTTGAAAATACTTTTATTTCTTACTAAACTATTATCATTTTATAAAAAAATCTTTTTTACCCTCCCTGTTGCAGCAAACCTAAGGTACTTGTTAAACTAATTCTATTTAAATAGAAAATAAATGTGCTATTTTTATGGAGGCATTTTAGTGTAAATCCAATCAGGTCAATGGAAATTCGCTTAGTCTGCAGGTTTGCTGCGGCGGGGGTATTTAAATGTAGACAAGAACAGTCAACTCTTGTAGTAATGGCCTAAGTGTACTCTTTCTAAGGTAAGCTAAGTGATATCCCTCCATTCAACAAATAAAAATCCAGACCTAGAGCCTTTCTTTGAACAAAAATACCTGGTATTCAAGTTTGAATTCGTGTTCCATGAAACTCAGTCTGCGAAGTTCCCAGGAGAGTTCGAAGGCAGTAAGAATTGGATCTTTGGAAGACAGAGCGATGAGTGAGGGGCTGGCCAGAGCTCTGTACGCGTTGATGCGAGACCGTGAGTGACGTAGAGAGTCCTCTAGGCGAGACGTAACACACTCATCACAGCCACATCTGCGGAAAAATTAGATTCAATTAAATTTAAATTAGATTCAATATAGGTTTTTAGAAAGAGTTTTTCACAGGGACGATCTATATCAGGGTGCTTATTTTAAGGCCAATATTAATGAACAAGTCTAAATTGATGAGATGACAGCTGCTTTCTTACTGACTAGGATCAGCTCCAGCTGGCAATTTTACCTTAGTCATTTAATTAAAAGCCTAATGATCATAGACAGCTGGGTTCAGACTTTAGACTTTTCTCAGGATCAAACTGACAATGTAATAATTACCATACGAGTACTCTTTTCTCTTGGGTACCAATTTATATTAATAAAACATGAATTCCCATTATATATCATTTAAAAGTTTTGAAGAGTGTGAAAAGTGTATTGCATTGACATATGCATTGGTCAATCATTCGTGTTTGGGATATAGCTCCAATAGTTACCCACTCACAGCAATGCTAAAGTGTAGAAGTGTCCATTGTAGTGCAGTCAAAAGAACATTAAAAAAATCTAAATTACATAGACTAACACCCTCAAAAATCAAAATGGGTAGATTCTGATACATGAATGCTTGGTTTCTTCATCTTTCACCAACCAGTTTGAGTATAGATTGTGCGTGTCTATTTATATTACTTATGAAAAATAATATAGCAGTACATTATATAAGTGGAATCTCGATAAGAAGACCCTCAATAACAAGTGGCCCTTGACAACAAAATGTCATTCTCAAACCCCCTTTGATTTTATATGACCCTTAATTGCATGTTATTCCAAAGCTCTATTATCTACCTCGACAGTCATATTTGATTATCCCCATGAGAGATTTGTTAACAAGGTTCTACTGTACAATTATTCAGCAACTATGGTGGGGGTGACGGTACAAGGCTTGTCAAACAATTCTTGCTGATTGTAAGATCTACTCCATTCAGCTAAAGGGAGCTAAGTAATCTAGTGGTATAGCACAGGGCTTTGGTCCCTGAGCTTACGGGTTCAAATTCAACCATCAACAAAATACCACCCAAAATAAAACGGATCCAGGCTGGAGCGTTGAACCCTGAACTCTAGTTTGTGAAGGAAGCACTTAAAAAACAAATACCGTAGAATGGGGTGAATAGAAACACTTTTTGACTTTTAAGCTTCTGTAAAAACAATATTTTTAATTTTTTAATTTTCAACACTAGCTCATATTTTCGGTCTTGGACTCCTCTACTCAAACCAGTTATCATTTTTTTTTTCTTTTTAATCATGAAGCAGAAAAAAAATAAAATATGGCTGTTTCTATTCACCCCGCACTTTGGGGTGAATAGAAACACTGTGTTAAATTGATGATTGTTGCTTTTCCCCACTTACCAGGGGCAATAGAAACATGAAATTTATGCTTGTTAGCTTAGTTTGTTGTAAATAAAAATATTTAAAGTTAATTAACACATTTATTTATAAGTACGAAGTATAAAAACATCGTTTTCATAAACCCTTATCCAAACAAATCGGAGAACATAAATGACAATGGGTGAAATCAGAGTTACAAAATCTTACATAGAAACCAACTAAATGATGAGTAAAATCAGACAAATCTTCCTCAAAATACAACACTCCCTTAAATTTACAAGTTGTACACGGCTTGGGAGTTGGAAGCCGACGTACTACGTCATCGACTTTGAAGAGGGCCTCTTAATCTGTCTCTCAGAACTTGTTGGTATGCGCAATTTTCTTGATGAATCTTCCTATTTATCCTTCCTCGTCAAATTCAATAACTTTTGCAGCATATAAACTATAGCAAGTTTTGTTTTTCCCCATTACTTTGACAATTACATGATCATGAAGGGACAACTTTGAAGACTCACTGATGTCTTGAGCTAGGTATGCTGGTTCTTCTTTATCAAATTGTTCGTCTTTGTCACTTTCTTCCGGTGAGAAGTGTGTGTGGAATCATCTTCATCTCTGGTATTTTTTTTCTTTTTTGGGGGGTTTTCAGGTCAACCTTTATTTGCACCACTGGTTCCAAAAAAAGTGTTTCTATCCACCCTGGTTTTGCAAAATCATGACATAACCTAAATAAAAAATAAAATAAAAAAATATAGTTTATTCTAAGGCTAATCTATTAACACACTTGGTTTTAAGATACCTAAGACAATATAAAAAATGGTTATTAACATAAAAACATGTAATAGGTTCATAGAGAGAAAGTTTTGAAAAGAATGTTTTTCGCCAAAATTTTCAAATGATGTTTCGCATCATCCAACATCCGAAGCAGTGATACCAATATGCTGAAATATTTTTTCCCAGGTAGATAGGATATGGTTATAATGGGGGAAAATAATTCCCTTATATAAAGTCAATGTATTACAAAGTTATAAAAATGTGAATCATTCATTGAAGTTTTGTTTCTATTCACCCTGTTGTTTCTATTCACCCCATTCTACGGTACAATTACTTAGCATAACGGTAGACTATCAATGTTTTTTATCTCTGGGCAATTATGAGTTTGTAAAAAAAAGAATCAATATCACAATACCTCCATATCAATCACTCTAGCTCTTACCGGACGTCATGTGGCATCGGCAGCGTTGCCCCTCGGTCCAGCAAGATCTTGATGATCTCGTAGTTGTCTCTGTGAGCCGCTAGGATGAGAGGAGTGATATCTGGAGTGAACGTAGCTGTGTCCGGCGGCAACGCTTCCCAACTCTGAAACACCAGTATGAAGCACATTCATACTTGACAAAATCTATTAGATTTAAAATTCTCTTTTTGGTTAGCGTCCACCCCAGTGGCACTTTATGTATGAATCAAACCTCTCAAATTTGTTGGATATGCCAAAGGAAAAGTCCCTAGGGTAGTAGTAACACATCCCAAAGCCTTAAACTGCTTATTGGTTCTGGAGTTGTGTTGCTGTTTATGACTGTTTATAGATCTTATTTTCTAAAATTTTAGTTTGGATTTTACTGTAATGGTAAGTTTATAATGTATGAAAATTGGTTTACAGCTTTGTTAAACATTGCAATAAATGATTAAAGTTACTCAAACCAAATTAATTTATTGGCATAAAAATAACGTTACATAAAATGCTTTCAGACAGTAGTAACTATAGTGTGTCCATTAAATTATAATCCTAATCTATTATTAGGCCTACACAAATACTTATAATAAATGTAGTAAATGTCTTCTCAATCTAATTAGACAGTTAAAAAAAATCAAACTACAACGTATACACAAATACAATAAATCTGTAACACAGATACTGAGAATATTGTAGCTCGTAATAGCTAACAGTATAGTTTAATTCTTGTTTAATGTACTGTATTTTTAAATGTGTAACTTTGTTGTGAACAATTATGCATTGAATTATTCAGTGTTGTAGTGTTCTGGATTAGTCATCAACTAAGGAATGTGTCGGCCTTAGTCACTAACAAAGACTACAAGATCGTGCCACTCATCCTACACTCATTTCCTTTCATACTTGGCTTAAAGTACCTACTTTGTATGGTCGCCATTTCATTGAAAAGTATTAAAGTATTAATAACTAAAATACAAGACTTCTCGTCTTGTAGTAAAATCTCACACAATGCTTTGTCAGGGCAAGAATTAAAATTACTTGGCTATGTATGATAAACCTATAGGGGAGTTTAACCACTAATCGAGTGAAACTTTTGTCCCATATGAAAATTAATGTCTGAACCTCTTAGCTTTCAGAGTAAAAAAATGTCAAGTTAAAAAATTAAACACTCAGATGCGTACTAGTAGAGTAAATGTGTATGAATGATAAGGGAGTTCTAAAGTATATAATCACAAAGTGACATAGTCAGAAAGAGGTGTATACATTTGAGACAAATAGTAATGATTAAATAGTAAAGGTGAAAAAGTATTTTGACAGAAATACAATACATTTTTAATTAGTCTAGGCTTAAAATTAACCTTTCCACATTTTAAATTTAAATTTCCTAAATTTTACATTTGCAATTAATAATACTGAAACAATATAAATGAGTGAAAATTTAAAAACGTACGTTTTCAGGAAAAGCACTTTGCAAATTTGTTTCCCTTTTTTTCAAAACTTTTATTATTTTTTTTATTTTATTAACATTTGAAGTTGCATAAAATGTCCATGGTAACGCAATATGTTTGGTAGTTTCTTTTTAATAAAGCATCTTTAGTAGAAAAACACAAAATCCTGTCACGACCATAACGGACGTTTAAATGAATATTAAAAATAGTTAATATTATTTTTATAACTATGTTATGCTATAAACTAATTTACTTTTATGACCATTATACAATAAAAAGGTCACTGAGCTTTTGGTATATTTGGTCTTTCTAGAAAAAAAAAAAAAAAACTCAAAAAATTGGAAAAAAGCCAATAAAATCTTTTTAAGTTTGTATAACTCCGAAAAAACTTACCTGAGACCCGAAAAATCGTTATGTTTGTATAGAGGTGTGCTTCTTTTGTGTATAAAACATTGAAATATGACGATATTTTAATTTTTGAAATTTTTATGATAGAAATTATAAACGTGATGGTCAGGGACAAGCGGTACGGTCGTGAATTGTATGGAATAATCTAAATCTTTCCAAACAATCCTTCAATTATCCTGTTAGTTATAATAAAAATATGTGTTTCAATTGCACTAAACTGTTCAATTTACAATTATATTAAAGTTATTGTCACGACCAAACACACTATAATCCATAAGGCTGGATTGGTCGTGAAAAAACCCGCGATGGTCGTGAAACTTTGGTCGTGAAATTACGAGTTATTTGGCTCTGTTCTGGTGGTAGCCCTGCACCTCATGTTCGAGGATACAAAGTGGACTTCTAGGTTAATCTAGCAATTGAAATATCTTATAAACAAAAATTAACACCATGTCTACTTCATCGAATGACTACGTACGGTCATGGACACACCAAAATTACAAAAAACACAATCTTTCCTTTATTAATCTTGTAACTCCTCCTTTCAACTCGAAACGACCGGCACTACAATCCTGACGTACACCCCGAACTAGTCTCTAAAACCAACTGACTCCATCGACGCCAAGCTTGCCACTGTCGTGCTCCAAAGTTGAAAATTTTTCCCAAATGGTCGTGACGCCAAATCGAGGGACAGACTTATTTTGTCATGGTAGTCAGTTTGTAATGACAATAAAATTATAATATGCTCCTTTTTTGTAAGTTTAATAACTATTGATGACATAAAAGTATGGCTTTATATATTTCGGCATGAATAATTAGTCTGAAAACAGCGTGAAAGGTGGAAAATGTACCCTAGGGACACATCATGGTCGTGAATTTCGAGACTTTAAAAATACGAAAAAAATACCTAGAACCTATTTAAAACCAAATAAATGTGTGTAACATGTTGCCCCCGTCCCAAAAAATATTAAAACACATAATAATAAACTACAAATCCAGTATCTACGAAGTAAAAGGCCAGGGACATGAAAACGTACGTTTTCAAATTTTCACTCAAATATGCACAGTAGAAATAATGTTATTGAAAGAGTGATTTTATCTTAGAATAAAAGGAGCACTGCTTTGTACAGTGAATAGACTGTTATGAATATAAATAACATTCATTAGGAGAAGTGTAACATTGAGGTTTAGAAAAGCTGCTTTTGGGTGAATCAAGTTTTCCCACAACTTAATTATCTTTCATAACCAGACAAGAGGATTACACCCTTCTAAACTTTCAATCTCTGCTTCTTATTTCTGTTCAATTGCAATTAAATAGGTAGTTACAAAGTGGAATAAATATAGGACCTAATTAGTTTTGGATTTAAAATTTTGTAAAGTAATTCAATACACTTTTCATAAATTTAATTTAGATCATTATGGATCATCAAGCCACAGTAAAACCTCAATAACATGAGCTAATTGGGGATCCAATTTTTTCAGATTGTAAATAGCTATCTACCTTACAAGTGTAGTAAGAGCGTTTTTACATGACACAGGTGAATGTTGTGCATAATTCACCTAAGTGATGTAAACACGCTCTTGCATAACGTGTAACGAACAAGATTTTACCTGGCCCGACAATATACAGGGGGTTACGTACAATATTTTTCATTATCCATTTCACTCATCTTTTAACAGTAACGTTCTTTTACAAACAAAAGCTTGGTTAGGAAAATACTCTAAAGCATAACAATAAAATTCAAGCACACAGCTGATTTCTAGCGTTGAACGTTGTTGGCTCCATAGAGGTATATTTTTTAAGTTGAGCGCTCAATGTTATTTAAATGGGTTTCATTACTTCACCGAGTGAGTTTTTGAAACTTTACTTCACTCGTGAAGTAAAGAAGTTGTATACATCACGCTTGGGATAGGGAAGTTTAACATGGCGGGTTAGGTAAAAAATAAAACAAACACACAATACAAAAATCAGTAATGTTTTGGTAGTGTTTGGGTATGTCTTCTATATAACAAAACACCTGTTGCATAATAATAAAATAATACATAAGCACTATTTGCGTGGAGGGGGGGGGGGGGGGTGAAAACAGCGTAGTTTGGCAGTAATGCAGGTTCACTTTAATAATAAATTAAGTACTTGGTTTTACATACCTAATTGGTTTATTGGTCATAGATATCAACTATATGTAATATTCAGTTCTTTCTACCATTAAAAAAATCAACAATAAAAAAATTAGATTACAAAGTAAAGTAATCGAAAAAAAAAACTTATAGACCTATCATTACAGTACTGAAGAAATATATTTTTACAAGTATAACAGTTCTAATAAGATAAACTGAGTATAATTCCAACTTAAGAGTTAAGAGAGCTTTAGGCCCTGGGTCCCTCTACTTAGGAAGGATTATAAGGGATAAAGCCATACTTCGCCAATGTACATGCTGACTATAGAATAGTTCAATTTAATTAAGATTATGTTTGATTTTATATCTTGCTGCATTGCTTTGGCTATCAATGTAATACCTTTAATGCGCGCTTTGCTTTTGCCATTGTTGACAATGTATTGTTTAGGCTATTATTAAAAACTCTCGCTGCATTAATTTGAACACTATTGAGTTAAAATAAAAGATAAGTAATATTGATCGGATACTGCTAAGTGTTAGTAAAATTGGCAAAGAAATAGGATCAAAGCTGGACATTTATTAACAATATTGAAACATTGTTATTGCATTTTAGCGAATTTCTTATATAGGGAATAAGTTACCGTAGGTCTCATGGTAAGACATAGACCCAAGACCGATTTACTTTTTCATTTTGAGGTCCCCATAGGCCAAAAACACCATCCGTTCACATAATTTCAATTCACATAAATTTGGTACAAATGTGTAAACCTACTTGTATTCAAACAAGTTTGGAACCAGCATGATCGGACTATAGGATCGGGGGTTTATGGGGTGAAAATAGATTTTTCCCATTTTTAACCCTAAAAACACAAAATTTCATAATTTCTCTCCAAGCCATTTTGTAGAGCAAAAAAAGAAATAATTTTGTATATTGAACGTTATGTTATACGCCCAACGGTTACAGAGATAATTTTAAAATTGCAAAAATAAAATGCACATGTTATTCTTATTGAGAATAAATAACTGTTATTGTAGTTTGTTTGTTTATGGATATATTTTTATCAAATTTGGCAATTTTGTTTATTTCATACTAAGCTATCAACATTTCAATAAAAAAAACACACCTCAATATCTTCCCCTTAGCAGCAAATCTAAGTACTCACTAAAATTAACGTTATTTAAATAGGAAATAAATCCGACAATTTTTAGGGAATATTTCAGTAGAAACCATGCCGGGTATATGGAAATTCGGATAGTCTGCAGGTTTGCTGTGGCAGGGGTATTATTATTTTTATTGTTATTATTTACACTATCTGGTGTGAAATGGCTTGACGTAATCACAAAAACTTTTTGGGAGTTGAGCTAATACTTTCAATATTTCGTGAACATTCAATGGAGTTTGAATCCTCAACTATCAAGCCAAAGTCTGATACGTCAGCCTCACATCCGTACTAAACCCGTTCCTTACAAAATTTTGTTACAACAATATTTCACATACAATTTATTTTAATAGAGAGGATGAACAGTTCCAAAAGAGGATAATTGTTAGTCGAGAGTTCTCTCAAACATTTTATATAATACTCCGTGGTTACTCTATGTACATTTGCTCTGTGGAGAGTTGGAGATGTGGTTTATTGTTGGCCACCACTTGTTATCGTAACAGTAACAAGACCACTGTCATTATTTGTGACGGGCAGTAAACATTGTTAGTCAGGCTCAAGATACCATTCTACGTCCCATTGCTCTCATTATGTTTATTTTTCCAAGGAAAGAATATTTCACATATTAAACTCAAAATATTATTGCAAAAGGAACTTTCCAATTTAGTAAATGTATACAAATCAAATAGAAGGAGGAAAATGTTTGTGTTTGCACTAATAAAGGTTAATAACTTACTTAAATTCAGTAAAATAATAATTTAACATTTTTTGGCACGTATATATACCTTTTTTAAGGGCTAGCAGCTGGTATGCGTCATTAAATACATAAAAGTAATTTCATGTGTTAGTCTTTTGGAGATATAAAAATTGAGTGTGTACAAATTTGCTGTCAGGGATTTTGCATCCAAACAAAACAGTAATTCTGGGAAACCATAAATCAGTCAAAGTTTAACCCCTCTAAATTGAAAGTACATAATACCTTTGATTACAACTAGACATTCCATTCCCATATTAAATTTGTAGCCAGTTATTTTAAACAAAATCGTAGTAGTTAATGTGAGTGACTGACAGATTGTGCAGATCTAAATTACTGATTTCTGTTGAATACACAATCTTGTTTACCAATTAATTCAAACTAATGGAACGACCTATTGTGAGCTATAGCAACTGTTATGACCCATCAACTTGGTCAGCAACAATAAATAAGATAGAAAATAGAGTTTTAGGCACTACCACTTTCTATGACTGGCTCACACAACTACGTTCTTTTCAACAAAAAATTGGCTACAGCCGGTCCATATAGATGGGACGTCAGTGCATAGACAGCATCAAGTGTTACTTACATGAGGTTCTCCTGGCTTGTGTAGAGTCTCCTCGTGGTCTAGCAGCACCTCAACAGCCTCCACAAACTCATTAGAGATGGCGTGTAGCAGAGCGTCCTTGGTGTCTACCTTGTACTCTATCAGCAACTCTACATAGACAACATCAACTGTTACTCACGTGAGGTTCTCCTGGCTTGTGTAGAGTCTCCTCGTGGTCTAGCAGCACCTCAACAGCCTCCACAAACTCCTCAGAGATGGCGTGTAGCAGAGCGTCCTTGGTGTCTACCTTGTACTCTATCAGCAACTCTACATAGACAACATCAAGTGTTACTCACGTGAGGTTCTCCTGGCTTGTGTAGAGTCTCCTCGTGGTCTAGCAGCACCTCAACAGCCTCCACAAACTCATCAGAGATGGTGTGTAGCAGAGCGTCCTTGGTGTCTACCTTGTACTCTATCAGCAACTCTACATAGACAACATCAACTGTTACTCACGTGAGGTTCTCCTGGCTTGTGTAGAGTCTCCTCGTGGTCTAGCAGCACCTCAACCGCCTCCACAAACTCATTAGAGATGGTGTGTAGCAGAGCGTCCTTGGTGTCTACCTTGTACTCTATCAGCAACTCTACATAGACAACATCAAGTTTGACTCACATGAGGTTCTCCTGGCTTGTGTAGAGTCTCCTCGTGGTCTAGCAGCACCTCAACAGCCTCCACAAACTCCTCAGAGATGGCGTGTAGCAGAGCGTCCTTGGTGTCTACCTTGTACTCTATCAGCAACTCTACATAGACAACATCAAGTGTTACTCACGTGAGGTTCTCCTGGCTTGTGTAGAGTCTCCTCGTGGTCTAGCAGCACCTCAACAGACTCCACAAACTCATTAGAGATGGCGTGTAGCAGAGCGTCCTTGGTGTCTACCTTGTACTCTATCAGCAACTCTACATAGACAACATTAAGTTTGACTCACATGAGGTTCTCCTGGCTTGTGTAGAGTCTCCTCGTGGTCTAGCAGCACCTCAACAGCCTCCACAAACTCCTCAGAGATGGTGTGTAGCAGAGCGTCCTTGGTGTCTACCTTGTACTCTATCAGCAACTCTACATACACACCATCAAGTGTTACTCACGTGAGGTTCTCCTGGCTTGTGTAGAGTCTCCTCGTGGTCTAGCAGCACCTCAACAGCCTCCACAAACTCCTCAGAGATGGCGTGTAGCAGAGCGTCCTTGGTGTCTACCTTGTACTCTATCAGTAACTCTACATAGACAACATCAACTGTTACTCACGTGAGGTTCTCCTGGCTTGTGTAGAGTCTCCTCGTGGTCTAGCAGCACCTCAACAGCCTCCACAAACTCCTCAGAGATGGCGTGTAGCAGAGCGTCCTTGGTGTCTACCTTGTACTCTATCAGCAACTCTACATAGACAACATCAACTGTTACTCACGTGAGGTTCTCCTGGCTTGTGTAGAGTCTCCTCGTGGTCTAGCAGCACCTCAACAGCCTCCACAAACTCCTCAGAGATGGCGTGTAGCAGAGCGTCCTTGGTGTCTACCTTGTACTCTATCAGCAACTCTACATAGACAACATCAACTGTTACTCACGTGAGGTTCTCCTGGCTTGTGTAGAGTCTCCTCGTGGTCTAGCAGCACCTCAACAGCCTCCACAAACTCCTCAGAGATGGCGTGTAGCAGAGCGTCCTTGGTGTCTACCTTGTACTCTATCAGCAACTCTACATAGACACCATCAAGTGTTACTCACGTGAGGTTCTCCTGGCTTGTGTAGAGTCTCCTCGTGGTCTAGCAGCACCTCAACAGCCTCCACAAACTCCTCAGAGATGGCGTGTAGCAGAGCGTCCTTGGTGTCTACCTTGTACTCTATCAGTAACTCTACATAGACAACATCAAGTGTTACTCACGTGAGGTTCTCCTGGCTTGTGTAGAGTCTCCTCGTGGTCTAGTAGCACCTCAACAGCCTCCACAAACTCCTCAGAGATGGCGTGTAGCAGAGCGTCCTTGGTGTCTACCTTGTACTCTATCAGTAACTCTACATAGACAACATCAAGTGTTACTCACGTGAGGTTCTCCTGGCTTGTGTAGAGTCTCCTCGTGGTCTAGCAGCACCTCAACAGCCTCCACAAACTCCTCAGAGATGGCGTGTAGCAGAGCGTCCTTGGTGTCTACCTTGTACTCTATCAGCAACTCTACATAGACAACATCAAGTGTTACTCACGTGAGGTTCTCCTGGCTTGTGTAGAGTCTCCTCGTGGTCTAGCAGCACCTCAACAGCCTCCACAAACTCCTCAGAGATGGCGTGTAGCAGAGCGTCCTTGGTGTCTACCTTGTACTCTATCAGCAACTCTACATACACACCATCAAGTGTTACTCACGTGAGGTTCTCCTGGCTTGTGTAGAGTCTCCTCGTGGTCTAGCAGCACCTCAACAGCCTCCACAAACTCCTCAGAGATGGCGTGTAGCAGAGCGTCCTTGGTGTCTACCTTGTACTCTATCAGTAACTCTACATAGACAACATCAACTGTTACTCACGTGAGGTTCTCCTGGCTTGTGTAGAGTCTCCTCGTGGTCTAGCAGCACCTCAACAGCCTCCACAAACTCCTCAGAGATGGCGTGTAGCAGAGCGTCCTTGGTGTCTACCTTGTACTCTATCAGCAACTCTACATAGACAACATCAACTGTTACTCACGTGAGGTTCTCCTGGCTTGTGTAGAGTCTCCTCGTGGTCTAGCAGCACCTCAACAGCCTCCACAAACTCCTCAGAGATGGCGTGTAGCAGAGCGTCCTTGGTGTCTACCTTGTACTCTATCAGCAACTCTACATAGACAACATCAACTGTTACTCACGTGAGGTTCTCCTGGCTTGTGTAGAGTCTCCTCGTGGTCTAGCAGCACCTCAACAGCCTCCACAAACTCCTCAGAGATGGCGTGTAGCAGAGCGTCCTTGGTGTCTACCTTGTACTCTATCAGCAACTCTACATAGACACCATCAAGTGTTACTCACGTGAGGTTCTCCTGGCTTGTGTAGAGTCTCCTCGTGGTCTAGCAGCACCTCAACAGCCTCCACAAACTCCTCAGAGATGGCGTGTAGCAGAGCGTCCTTGGTGTCTACCTTGTACTCTATCAGTAACTCTACATAGACAACATCAAGTGTTACTCACGTGAGGTTCTCCTGGCTTGTGTAGAGTCTCCTCGTGGTCTAGTAGCACCTCAACAGCCTCCACAAACTCCTCAGAGATGGCGTGTAGCAGAGCGTCCTTGGTGTCTACCTTGTACTCTATCAGTAACTCTACATAGACAACATCAAGTGTTACTCACGTGAGGTTCTCCTGGCTTGTGTAGAGTCTCCTCGTGGTCTAGCAGCACCTCAACAGCCTCCACAAACTCCTCAGAGATGGCGTGTAGCAGAGCGTCCTTGGTGTCTACCTTGTACTCTATCAGCAACTCTACATAGACAACATCAAGTGTTACTCACGTGAGGTTCTCCTGGCTTGTGTAGAGTCTCCTCGTGGTCTAGCAGCACCTCAACAGCCTCCACAAACTCCTCAGAGATGGCGTGTAGCAGAGCGTCCTTGGTGTCTACCTTGTACTCTATCAGCAACTCCACCATCTCCAAGTTCTCGTTGTCGATGGCCATCAAGAGAGCCGAGCGGCCGAGAGGGTCCACACAGTTGATGTTGATGTACTCCGTCTCTTGTGCTCGCTGCATCATTCTGTGTCAACATCAACATTGATATTGATAGTTTGGATAGCGTATGCTTGACGTTTCAGAGAATGTTTTGTGAATTCTTTCACAAAACCTACGATCACATAGTTTCTTTTCTTTTATTCTTTCTAATTCCGTGGTGGCTTGATTTAAAAATTTGTTGTGGTCAGAATGTGTTAAACATTGGAATTATTCCGACTAGGAGTCAGTGCTTCATCAATACCGTGAAAAAAGCAATCATTATTATTTTTTAATTGCTCATAATTTACTGATTACACTTTTAAAACAGTGAGGCATGAGCTTAATATTAGGTATTTTGACATGATAAATGATGAAATGATGGAATGTAAAGTTATGTTTCTTATTTGCACTTTACATTTTATAAAAGTTTTGTCCAATAATATTCTCATGCAATAAGTCTGTGTGGGAAAATATTTAAATGTTGATAACTATCATGGGTTTCGTTAACTTTCCAAATCTTTTACTTAAGGTTTTATCGCTAAATTATATTGTCTCTAGAATGTTAAAAAACCTGATATTGAAACACAAAGTAAACATCATCACAGTGGTCATTGTAAACATAGACAAAATTTACAAGAAGGTTGATTAACAAATACAGAACGCAGGTAGAAGAACTATCTTTTACTTCTCTCGTTTTGCAAGGTGAACTACGGTTGTTTTTCGAAACAGTCTGAAATTATAAGATGTGTTGAAACATTGAACATACACAAAAAGAATTCACTATAAGTGGTTGAATTCACTATACAAATTGATTAGGGAGGTCAGTGAAACTATTCCGAAAAACAAGGAATCCAAACGATTGTCAAGTAAAACTTTAGCACCACCAGTAAAGTGAACAATAGCATTGTTCCTTCCAACGGTTGTGGCATCTCTTTGTAAAACTTAGCTAAACCAAACCTCAGCAACCACAGAACATTGTGGCTTCACAATACCAGTTCTCAGATTCACGCAGGATATCAGAGTTGTGTGAGTTTGTGGGTAAAAATGTAATACTATCCAGTCTGAACTGAAACTTTCTCACCTCCTCCACCAATTACTGACGAGAATCTTTGGTACTATGAATAATTTTACAATAAACTTAGTTCTGAAATTAGTTACTTTTCATTGCATCCAATTTCATACAATTAGTTTGATTTCAAATATAGGAGCGAGCTGGTTTAGTGGTTGGAGCAAGGGACTTCAGTCCAAGAGGTCCCGGGTTCAAATCCCGCCAAATCACCAATGGATTTTATCCAAGTGATAATATAATGCCACAACCCCTATAGGTCTAACCTGAATTAATGTAAAAAAAAATCCCGGGCTCGTGTCTAGGATGAAAAAAGTTTAGTTTCAAAGCTCCTCATTTCTTCAGTCTTTCTCAAATTACTGTTTTAGTATCTATAGTCAAGTCATAATTGTATTATAGTACAAGCTCAGAGAATATATGGTACAATTTGTGTGCCTACTTTCTAGAAATAATAAGGATTATGGTTAATTTTTTTAATGGCAGTTTAATTTAGTATAGTTTTTGGATTTTTTACATTTTCTTGAAATAAAAACTTGAAGGTTGGAAGATTAAAGGTGCAAAATTAACCGTGCACATACTATAAACGTACAAAATTCACTGTCATGAACATAGACTATATATATAATTCCGTAAGTCAAATTTTTGTAAAGAAATTGTGAGTGACTGGATGGCCGTAGAAGGATGGGCCCCATCCTCTCCCCCCCCCATCCTCCCCGGGAGGGGTCTTATTTTAAAGGTCTTGACGTGAATTTTGAGAGAAAACTATTCATTTTTCTTTTTTACCATAAATTCGCAACAGAATAAAACTTTTCCCATTAAAACAACATGGGGTTTAATTTGTTTACATCTTTTGAAATTAAAACAGCTGTGCCACAGATTTGAAAACAGTGATCAATACACGCATTTGGTTTACTTTTAGCCAGTCAACTATGAAATGTATACTATAATAAAACTGAAATATTGAAGATTAGTCGGAAAAACGTCTGCATTCTATGTTTATATTTAAATCATATACTCAAGTTTCATTTTTTCATGCTTTTACGTTATTGTCGTGTTAAAGGAATAAACGACATAGAATAAATATTCTGTATAAATAATCAAAGAGTCGAAATTAAATCTAACTTCTGTTTTGTTTTTATTTTTAAATCATATGTTCAAGTTTATTTTAAATGATGTTGTTTTCTTTATATTTCTACACATTTTAAGGTTAAGGTTGTGTGAATATATACAACTAAAATAACCTATAAATGTTATTGGTTCTAAAATGGTGTATTTGCATTCCTTCGTAAGTAATTTTTTTTAGTGCAGTGAATATACAACGTAGAGTAATCATATTCGATCATACTTTTATAAAATCACCAGGGATTCAAGATGTTTTGGTATGTAGGCTGCTGGATATATATTCTTTTCATTATAAGTACTGTAATTAATATGAATGCCAGGGGAATACCAGAAAGGCGGGGAACTGTTCATAGGAATGACATCAGTGCGCGTAGGAGAGCAAGAGTAGATAATGACGAACTTAATCAAGATATGTTACAACCCCTTTTTAGGAGACCCATGGTAGACGAGAGAAATGTAAAGATCCATGATGCAGGATTATTGGACCAAGAGTGCATTCAATGTAGTGCTCTTCATTTTAGAGAAGAACTAACGAATAATCATTTTATGACATGTTGCCATAACGGACTTATTAACCTTCCTCAGTCAAAAACTAATGTAGAACTTAAAAGTTTGTTTGAAGAGAGCCCACAACTGTATAAATTCATTCGACAATGCAACAGTGCGATGGCTTTTGCTTATTTTTCAGCCAGTAAGAAAGATATTCCAGGAAAAGGGCCATACTGTTTCAAAATTCAAGGACAGATTTACCTATCGTTCAATCTCAGATTTGCTGCCTCAACATGATGAAGACCCCGTGTATGGTCAATTGTACATTATTGACACATCAACAGCAACAGAAATTCGTCAAAGGCTTCGAGAAAATAGTGACTTAAAACCTGAAATATTGTCAAAACTAGCTGAAATTCTATTAGAAAATCCATTTGCACAAATTTACAAAAGAGCTTCGGAAGATATGGTTGTACAAGGTGACAGTGAATTAGAACTAAGGGGACAGGATAAATATGGATCGTCGTAGGTATAATAAGCCTACTGCAGATGAAATTGCAGGCGTCTTCAATTCATCTGAAGGCGAACCTCCAATGAATTTTTAAAATTCCAAACAGGGAAGCTTTTATTTATCCTCATTAACCACAAGACCAAAGCTACCTTAGTAAACCAGTATTTATTCACAAACAATGGTATGTTTGCTGCCTTTTCATGTTAAACCACTGGAGTGATTCAAATTATTTATTGAAAATTACATCAACAAAAGCAAACAAAGAAGAACAACAAACAACTGGTTTTTACACAAAAGATATGGTGTAGGGATGCCTATTCTGACACATAGATAATGTTATTCTGAGTTTGTTTAAATACCGGTATTGCAAAAAAGTTCTTTTACATTTGAGCTTTTTAGGGACTTATGTCCCTACAAGCCACTAGTAGTAAGTTTTGTTTCTAAAATTAACATAACTACAAGAAAAGATTTTTTTTTGGTTAAAAGTGAAATATGCACGGAAAAATCCCTTCCAATGCTGAAAACAAGTATTTGCAGTTTTAATAGTTCTTGTACAGATTTGAATGTGGTTTGAACAAATTTATATTGATGTTGGCTCAGTCTTGTAGTGTAGAACTAATCATGTATATCTATCTATATCTATTTACTTATTTAATACGCAAGCAAGTTTTTTGTGACAATTACTCCTCCAAAACTACTGAACTGATTGACATGTTTTTGGTGTCATTGGAAAGAGCGTAACGTGAAGTTGTGCAGGAAACTTTCTTTTTAGGGAAATAATGAGAGAGTGAGGCCATGGAGCCCTTTAAAGTTTCGTATTTCTCCATAAGATTTGGAAACAAAAATTGTTATGAAACTCCAGCTGTTGTCACAAATCAAAAGTGAGAAGAAGAGCATATGATAATTGTAAACAGTCAATAAGTTTGCTAATTTAACAGTTTCTACAAACTTGCTGACTTGGTTGAAATTCGTTTTAAAATAACGCCTGTAATACTTAGCAATTGCTCGAATTCGAGCAACAGGGACACTAGTTTTACTTATTTAATACGCAAGCAGGTTTTTTGTGACAATTACTCCTCCGAAACTACTGAACCGATTGATATGTTTTTGGCGTCATTGGGAAGAGCGTAACGTGAAGTTGTGCAGGAAACTTTCTTTTTAGGGAAATAATAAGAGAGTGAGGCCCTGGGGTCCTTTAAAGTTTTGTATTTATCCATAAGATTAACATGGGAAACAAAAATTGTTATGAAACTCCAGCTGTTGTCAGAAATTAAAAGTGAGAAGAAGAACATATGTTAATTGTACCAGCCAATCCTTATATATAATTCTGTAAGACTAAATTTTTACCAGAAAATTGTAGACGTCTGGTAAGTCGCAGAAAAGTGGAAGTACGGTAGTCTTAAATTAAAGGTCTCGACCCCAGGGACTCGGGAAAAATAGCAGAATTCCCATAAAGTTACCAGAAAACGAGATAAAACGTAAAATGTTCTACATAAGAATAACATTAAAAGCCATTTACTGCAGATTTTTGTTTACTTCAATACAGCTGATCGTGATTTAGTACTAAGCCAGTATGCAATATTAACATTTGGATTACTTATTTACCAGTCAATTCTGCAATGTAATGTATACTATATAAAACCAGGGATAGCGTTACCTATAATAACTAAGACTATTTAGTTACGTCTTAGAATGTTTAAATAAATTTTGTTACTGTGAAACTTATCAAATATATCTATTTTTTTTTATTAGTAAGTAAGTAGAAGAATTATGGGAGTAGGCAAAAAAAGAATTGAACTTATAATGGCTGAAAAATATCGAAGTCTTTGTTTTATACTATCGAGCTTTTTAGGGACTT